GTAATATTAACCATCTCCGTCCTTTTCTCTCAACCAATAATACAGCAGTTCTTGTTCACGCACTAGTCACCTCACATATAGACTACTGCAATGCCCTTCTCACTGGTGTTCCCTCTAAATTGCTACGTAAGCTCCAGTTGGTCCAGAATTCTGCAGCTCGTGTTCTTTCTAGAGCACCCTCTACTGAGCACATTTCTCCAGTTCTTCAGCAATTGCACTGGCTTCCAGTAAAGTATCGAGTTGAATTCAAGATCTTGCTACTTACTTACAAGGCACTTCATAATCTTGCACCCCAATACCTTCTTCATGTTTACACTCCTTCACGTGCTCTCAGATCCTCATCTTTAATTTCCCTTGTGGTACCTCGGATTCGACTAACTACCATGGGTGCCAGATCTTTTAGCTATGCTGCCCACCACCTATGGAACTCCCTTCCCCCTGATATTCGCAACAGCGATTGCTTGCTGACTTTTAAAACGCGTCTTAAGACATATCTTTTTATACAGGCTTTCTTACAATGTTTTATTGAGTCTTTACTGCACTTTATCTGTATATGCAGAGTGTTTGTTATATGTTTTTATTGTGTAGTGATTTGTATTTTTTTTATCTTTGCTTGCTTGTGAGGTGACCTTGGGTGTTTTGAAAGGCGCCATTAAATAAAATGCATTATTATTATTATTATTATTATAAATCATTCATAAATTCTTGTTTCTATAGCTGTAAATACATAATAATGTTTACACTTTAGATGCTGTCAATGTGGCCAAATTGTATGTTTCAGCAACAAAAAGTCAAGGGCCATGCACCTAACTAAATGGACTACTAATCATAATAATGGAGTTATGGTCTTCAAATGAAAATTATTTTAAACAAATCATCAACATTAACTAGAGGAAGAACTTTTGCACATGTATGAAAATTTTCTGTGTGAAATGTTGGTCAACATCTGAACAACTCCCTACACTTTTCTCTTTCTTTTTCAAAAATAAAAAAAATCTAGATAAATGTTCAGAAGGATACTGCAGCTCCTCTACAGTCCTGTTGTCAATTGTCCCTCGACTGTTGTAGACCAGAGTGCTGCTCAGTAACACAGCCAGACAGAAGATGTTGGTGTCATGCTTTGAGTCCCCCTACAATGCAAAACCATATTCGTGAAGTTAGAATAATAAACTGGAAATATCCTTGAATTTACATTCACATTCAACTCAATGAAAGGTACTCACACAACTACAAGCTATAATATTTAGTGCTCCATATAAACAGGGCTAATTCATCACATTCCCCGCCTCCACTTTACAGCAAACTAGCAAGCTAACACTAGACTGTTCAATACATCTGTTCATTCTCTAAAGCCAACAACATGCTGAATGAGCATGGATGCAAATAAGTGGTGTGAAGGTGCGTATGTGCAATAAAAAGAAAAACTGCACTGGGTAAATAAGTTCGGACCAATCATTTGCATACTGACCTGGTTGACAGCTTTAATGCACAATCACCATTTTAGATCGACTAACTATAATACTGTGTAAGATTTACATTCGAACTGAAAGCATAAATCTAGACTATGCTCTGCCAGTTTCAGAGCAAAATGGCAGTGCTAAATCCCACCAAAATGAAAGCTTGCTGATTTTAGGTTTGAAAATGATGAAAATTCATATTAATCTAAATAAATAAATAAAAGCACATGAAAATGTAAATATTAGCATTGTATTTTTTAAGTATACTGTAAAATAATTGTGTTGTCACTTAATACTTGTTTTTTTTATACTATACATTATAAATAGTTATTATTTTATTATTTTATTTAAAAACAAATTAAATAAAGTGCAATAATACTATTATTACTACTATTAATCATTTCATTTTTATAGTTATAATTATTGTCACATTATGTGCAGTGTAAGCAACAAACCATGTTCCTCTCCAGCACTTGCAGTTATGGGATTAAGGTCATCTCTGCTCCAAAAATTAAAGTGTTTTTGGACCCTTGGGTACTAGTAATTTGGTAAACTGGTAAATTTGTTATGTCACCTTGTCCACGTCCCCGAGTCCCTCGGTGTCCAGTAGCACCAGAGTGGTTCCTGCTTTAGTGGGGTGAGGCAAACACCACATCCAGATGCCCTTCGTCTTGGACTCAATTGTGCTGCCCAATGCAAACCCTGATAATGACACACCAAACCCCCCACAATGACTTACATGCACGTGAACTCATTGATTTGACCTGCATGATGTTTCTCTGAAGCGTTTGGATGGCATCTGTGCTGCTTGTGTGGGTCTAACCTGTTTGTTTCCCTGCCAGTCGATTCATCAGGTAGGACTTCCCGGTGCGGTAGAGACCCACCACAGCCACCACCACCACGGGCTGCTGGACCTGCTCCAGAACCTGCAGTGCTGACTGCTGGACACACAGCTTCCCATCAGACGCCGTGTCAATCAGGCATACTGGTTTGTCCATGGCCACTGGAGATGGAGCTGTCCAACAGATAGAAAAACATTTAACTTCCTTTAATTAACTGCAGTGCAGTAGAAGTGAAAGTTAGCGGGGGTTGAGAAACACTCCAATAATCCTATATTAGACAGTACTGTAATTCCCCACATGAGCAGCATTTCCTCTTTCTGTTTGGGGATGTTTGGGTAAATTTGGTGTTTCTCATATTGCCTTAACAACACACGTTCACAACAAATTACACAAGCTTTAGTTGATGCTCATTTCTTCTAGAAAGGTAAAATACAAGTAAATAGTGTAATATAAACAAAGTCCTTTAAAGATCTTACTAAATATGGCCAGAACATCTATCAAGACAAGTCAGGCTGTAAAGTTCACTAACACACACACACACACACACACACACACACACACACACACATGGAGTGATCAAATTAAATCACCAACATGAAATCTTAACTATGTGTAGTTCATTATCAACTGCAGGAGCAAAAACAAACATTATTCAATCTGCTGATGCTGACTGTAAAACACTGGACATTGTACTGTTTGCATTAATAAGAGCAGTACAAGTGCTATAAATGATCTGAATGAAGGAATGTCCCTTACCTTTTTGCTTTAGTTAACTTCAGTCTAACTTCAATCTGAGTTGTGTACATGTTGTAGCTTCCTGATATTCTAACCATATTTCTTAGACACATCTTTAGGCCCAGACTCTTAATGCTGATTGGTCTAGAGTGAGTTAGGGGGCGTCAATGATCTCTCAGCATGTCTCTGGTTATTCTCTGTGGCTGATTTGACCTCCTCCTAGTGCCTGAGCAAACAACAAACAAAAAGTTTCATTTTCAAAATCAGCAACTGCAAACTGGAAAACGTGACATATAAGAAGCTTGAATTATTTACAGAATGTGCAGCAACACAGAGATAAAATTTTTCCCTTTTGGTGGTTCTGTACGCACAGGTTGGAATGACATCTTGTATATCTGAGCTATAAACAAAATCTGAACAGTAATTTTCCAAAAATAAGAAGAACACAGAAGATTGTCATTTTTCAACCTATTATAAACATTGTTTTTGATTAAATTTAATGGAAATTCCAAAGAAATTCTCCCTTCAATGTGCCAGACACTGTGAAAAGAACTGGGAAATTTTTATGTGTGCTCATGACTCCATCAGTACTGCATGACACTAACAATACAATTGTTCAGAGTCCAGGGTTACTCATAAACTGTGTACCATATAAGCTGTTAAATAAGTTGGGGTAAAAGCATCAGCTAAAGAAAAAAAAAAGATTATTATACTACTGGGCTGGGTTTCATTTTGATTGGTTGGTTAATGTTCTAAGGTGTGCAGTTATTTTTCAGGGAAATGTCTGGCTAAAGTAGTTCCAGGCAGGCCTTCACCGCATTACATGTCCATATCACTTCACCAAATTCAGTTATTTCAAAGGTCCTTACTGTCTACAACAGCAAATGAACTAAAATTCACAATGACACTGACCAAGCAAAACAAATATGACAAAGACTTGACTTGGCTCATTTGTTGTCAATGCCTTGAGTTTTTAGGAATTCATATTTTGGAGGACTTTAACATTGAAAAACTCAGTAAGGTATTAGGACTCTCTGTCTTTATTGAGTGTTTTGATTTGTTTCAAAATGTTGATTGTTCTGCACATTACAAAGGTCACATGGTCTCATGGCAAAAACGTACCTGGGGGCACTTTTACATGAGATGGGAAATACATACCAGTAAGTACACATCACTGCAGTTTCCAATAGAAATGAACACTAGAGGCAGTAAAACTCTGACACCTTTTAACCTTTGTTCAACCATACAGTATATCTAACCCTGCTCACATTCATCAATAGCCCTTCATTTATCTAATCTTTTTCCTTAGGTTTTTTTACTTTCTAGTATTTTTGTTTAAGACATGATCATTCACTTTGTTTGTGTGACCTGTATGTTTCAGGTGAAATGTCTCAGTGCCTCGTCTGTGATGTTAGTGTATGTATCTTATTCTCGAGTGTGTTGTGCTTTTCTTAGAATTGTATATGTTTGGTATACATATTGGAGGTGCTTTTTCTTCAAAGTTTGCACAAGTCTGCAGACATGAGATTTGAGATATCAATTTTTTTACTCATTGCAATTTCATGCATTTGTATTTATTTCTTGTAAGCATCTTTTTCAGTATTATGTTTTTTGACTTATTTGTCATTTATTGTTCATTTATTCATTATTAAAATTAAAAGTGCTCTTTCCATCATCACTTCTTCGTCTGGTTGGATCTCACTGCATCACTGTATAATAATAGACACAGCAAATTTTACTCATTGAGAGATTTATTCGTGAAGGTGTAACGTACACACATTAGGTACATGTTTGTCTGAGCCGTGCATTCATTTGAACGGTGAGCTTTATTGCAGCGTGGGAGATGCAGACTCACTTCTCAAATCTCAAAATGCTTTTAAGATGTACAGTTAATTTAAACACAGTCAGTTATGTCTTGAGGAATTAATATAGCAAATCCACTTGACAGGTAAAATTAAATGAGTTGCTAATAGCAATACTCTTGACATTGAAAAACGCAAAGCCTGTACAAATGCTTGAAATGGTGAAAAATGATTTAGAATGGCTTAAAAAATGGTTACACATTTTATTTATCTATTAGGTCTTTTATGTTATTATAAAGAAACATTTCCAAGAGAGAAAGAAAATACTTGTTCATTTATCAAAATAAAGTAAGGTTTGAACAGTTACTTAATAGTAATAAAAAAAGCTAAAAAGCATAAAAATTGAGCACTCAAAAGAATACTGCAAGATATTTCAGGACAATATAAGTAAAGGTAGCATCATTTAGATGGTTTGACTTTTGTCTTTTTTCAACAATAATATTGAACAAATAATTAATAAACTATTTGGACATTTGTGTTAGTAGAAGGCTGCATACACACCACAAAAATGCAAATGTGTCACCTTTAGAGACTGTAGTTATGAGTTAATGAATCATATGTTAACATGAATAGTGTGTGAACTGTTTAAAATTACTAACATTTATACAACATTTGTAAATGTAAAAAGTACATTAGATTACCATTTTAATCAGATTAAACAACCAGTTTAATGACATTTGCAAGCATTCAAATGCACATTAATAAATAAGTTTTAAATCAGTGCATAACATCTATTTAAATCATTTGTATATTTTTATAAAGTGCACAATCATATATGAATTAAAGTTGAACATTTATAAGCATTTTATGTTAATTACTTAAGTTTCAGGAGTGACAACCACATTTAAATGCATTAAAAAAAATGTATCATTCCATGTGTGGCAACGTGGTAACCATAGCAACATTGTGGCATCTCGGAGAGAATGGAGGCCCACAGATTAGCTAGTTTTGTGTTAGCTGCTGTTGACAAAACCAACATTAGACTGCAAAGACATGCAAAAATCCACAAATCGTTATTAAATCGCTGTTGGGATAGTCGTCTTAATCTAGTTTTGTTCTTTAAACTGTTGTTATTGAACAGCCTACACTCTCTTGACTGCAACTGGTCGGTCCAGAATACACCTCTCTCCGCCATCCTGTCAGATCTGAGGTAAACACTTGACGCCTGCCAATACACCCACATTGGCATGCTTCTCGTGACATCATCAATAACAACTAGTTGTTCGGTTGCATACACACTACATAGAATTTCTGTAAATGCGGTTGTCACTACCTGTATTTTTCGGGAATTAATGCGGTTGTCGAATTATGTATATCACAGCCACTGCATTAGCCATTATTTTTAAGTTGAAGAAGACGTAGATGTGAAGCAGCATGGAGAGCCATTTCTGAAACGTGCCACGGTGCAGCTGGTATAAACACAAGCATTGACTAATACCTGCGATCATCTCCGGTGCCTGCGTTGAAGCCGTAATGTGCTGCAGAAGTGTGCAGTGAAAATAAGGGGTTATCCAAGCATTAATGTCAAGTAAGCTTTACTTGCCATTATTGCTTGGATAACCCCTTATACTTGAGAGTGGCCATGTATTAGGTGTTTCTTGGAGGTTATAGTACATTAAAGAATGATCCAGTGACTTATGTATGCCAGGTGATCTGTAAATGCGGAAAAAAATTTCCATTGAAGTTTTGTGAAATATTCCTTTTACGAATTGCCTGAAAAACTACCTCATGTGAGTCTAAAAACTTTTTTGCGATATATGGGAGTTTTTGCGCAATTCATATGTTTCCATTGGGGTATTTTCCATTTTCAATTTGGCAATTCGAAGGGCAATGGAAACGCAGATAATGTCGAACCTGAGGAAGCATCTGCAGGTATGTAACAGCCTATAAAGCCGCGTGAGGCCCGAGGAAGGGAGAGAAGAGAGAGATGCTCTCACAGAAGCTGAAGTCTAACGTGTTGTCTCCTTTGCATTACAGAAACCAGCCCGTGACCAAGCAGCCCACTCACGAGCGCCGCACGGACTCACTGACACTGGATCACGCTCACGGAGAAGCACCAACTCACGCACGGAGAAGCCTCGACTCACCTCAGGACACAGCGCACTCACTTAAGCACTTCCCCTGTGAATAAATCCTCCCTCCAGGGTATTTATTTGAGCTCTCCTTGTCGCGTGTTCCTTCCCACCCCGTTACACTGGTGGAGAATGCGGGTAGGAAAAAAAAGTGGTGGAGGATACACCGACAAGTGATCTCGGTCCATTGATTCTTTCTCTTGTGTTTCCCCTCCCAGGCAGCTACTCCTCCCCCACCGCATGGATGAAATTCTCCAACGGCTGGCGGAGGTTCGGAACCCCGCTACAACCCTGGAGCTCGTGGAGGCAATGGAGCTGGCGGAGGCGGCGAACCGGCGAGAGCCGGGGGAGCGAGTGCCGCCTTTTCCCCGGAGGGTGGCCCAGGAGTAACGCGCGCCGGAAGGCATCTCCCGACCAGTAAGCAGGCCGGCGGCTCCCACTCCGCGGGATGAGCCCATGCCCACCGAAGTCACCTCCACTCCCGCACGGACA